CGCGGTATTCCACAAGGGTCCGTACTCGGTCCCCGGCGGTTTCCCGCATTCATAAATGATCTACCGAAAGTGTTCAGTTCAAAAACAATACTGTTTGCAGACGACGCCAAAATCTGGAACACGGTAACCGAACCCGCGGGGTCTCTAACACTTCAAGAAACACTTAACGCAGCTCATCAATGATTTAAGGATAATGACATTGAATTTAATATTTCTAAATGCAAAGTCCTATCCCTACACCACAAGATAAAATTTTCGTATTTGCTCGGGGATCAGCAGCTACCACACACTTCCAGTGAAAAGGACTTTGGAATTGTTGTTCAAAAGAAGTTAAGCTGCTGGATCAATTGCGCTAAGGCTTCTCCCGCTACAGTGAAGAATGTCGGCTTACTGTGACAAGTCCTTGGCCGGTTTGAGTCATCACTATTCTTCCGTTTTCTATCAATGTACATTTGAGCGTACACAGAGTACGCCATCCGAGCTTGGAGCCCATGATTTCAACGTGATTGCAAGATGCTTGAGAGCCAACAGAGGATGGCCAACAAGATGGTCAAGGGATTGCATTACTTGACATACGAGGAGAGATTGTGATCATTGAGACTATATTCTGCTCAGTACCGCCAAATTTGGGGAGACTTGATTTTAACGTATGAACCCAAACCATCCATTTCGGCAGCTTCTCATGTTATCAAACAATGCACACCTTAGGGGACACCGTTTCAAGTTGCTGATTCTAGAGTGTCGACTGGAATACTGACGTCAATCTTTTGCTGTCAAAGTTAGCAGTACTTGGAACGCCTTTCCATCTCATGTCATTTGTGCACCCACTAAAAGCAAACGCAAATTCACTGAAGCCTACATTCGCTATCACCTCTTACCCGGAACTTTATGTGACTTCTTTTTCGGCATATAACGACTCAGTTGTGTCAGTGTCCTATGGGGACAAGAGAAGTACGAGTTTTTAAGTTATCCCCATAATAAAAGTTTGAACTTTGACTTTGTGATATGCGGATCCCGTTCATCACGCTGATATCAAGATGAGAACTACATATTCCATGGAACCAGTTCACATGAGAGCAAAAAGAAGCATCATGATCAGTGTGTGTAAGCTGAATTCAACTATTCCTAGATCATAATCATCAGCTGTGTTCAGTACAGTGACCAGTTTGGGAACAGGCGAACACACACATAGGAAAGAGAAGTCATTCAATTGGGGGGCTAAATGTCACTAATTTGAACCGGATTGGGTAGAGAGACAGGGAGTGTACTTACTGTAGGGGAAGTACATTGACACCTAACTGGGCAGAGCGAGGCTGGCCACGAACTCCAGCTTTTTAAACAAACCAGGCCTGTACGGTCAGATGACAACCGCCTTAACGAACAGTAGTAGACAGCTATCCTTCTGACGGATTAAGACACGAAATGCGTCCAGTACATGATGGGCGATTGAGCTGGACGGAAGCTTGGACGCCAACTTCTTCGGTGCAGGCTGTGCCATCCTGGTGGTCAATCGTCTCTCAGTTCTTTCGAAGTACTTACCACCGAAAGCACATTGAACTAAGTAAACCACAAGGGGAGGTAGCTAAGGGTCGGGGTTGTCTACATTGGATTCAATGAGCATTCGTTTTGTGTCGTGTAGTACTATAAGGAAGGCAGGATCATACGTTCTTTCATCAGCCTCCTTCACCAATTCTGTCACTTTTTTAACCAAATATATGTACACGAAATAGCTAAATACCAACACGAATCCTTTAATCGTTATGCTTCTTCTTAATCTCTCTTGAACTAAGTATTCGTTTGAAAACGATTAATTTGGCCAGAATCGTATAAATACCCTACTTTCTGAGTTAAACTCAATTGACAACTGGTTTTCTTTTAATTTCTACTTTGCAAATCGACAATAGGTAATCCGTTTTTCAACCAGCTTTTCTAAAATCGGCCAATTTCGAGGGCTGGATTAAGAAATACATGGTTGCATGAAAGGATCTCTGAAAACAAGAACTCTCTTTGGTGTTTATTCGGCAGCGAGCTAGATTGGTCTTAATTTAGGTTCAACAATCACTTGAAAAGCAAATTTGTTCGTCTAGACTGTTTTGGTGGAGAAAAACGGAGCTGGAAGTTATGTTTTGCGAAAATTTTCAAGGAGGACGTTACAACGAACGAACGAACGAACAGCCAACCTGAACGCTTAATCAGTAATAATAATAATTTAATCGCACACTGCATCGTGTATTCATTGGACAAGAGAGTTTTTGCGGATTACGTTCTTTCATTACATGATAGTGATTGAGAAGAGGCCTATTCAGATACCGGCCAATCCGACACGCCAAGCCGTCCTTGTCTAATATCAAAATTGGGTCCCTCGGAGACACGTGATTCCAGCCTGTGATGATGCCGAAATAACACGGGAATCAGCATAAAGTGTTTGGATGAGGTTGCGTGGGATTGATACCGAATCCCAGTCATCACACTTGTTGTCCGATCGCGATAAAGAGTTTTATTTTATTCCATTGAATAGCAATTGTATGAATATCAATGGAATTTGACCGAAAGAGTATTTGTTCCGAACTCCGATGGATTCTTCGAGTCACCGAGCCAGTAAAATAACGTTATTTTCAGTTGAGTTACGCAATTTTCCCAGATTACTTACTGCCGAGATCAAATTATAACCGCGACGCTTTGTACAGTACTTTTAGGGCCAGTAACAACACAAAACCAAAGCATACAAGAGAGTGTGCTGATCGTATCCGGGTAAACGAATTAATGAATGATTGTGAGAGTACAGTAATCGATTAAATGATGACCTAAAACTGGCGCAAGGACAAAACGGATTGGAAAGGTCAGTGGTTGTCATGACCGGCTGTGTCACGTGATTGGACTAGCAATGAGAATGCGATAGACGAATGAGTACGTATCTCTTGCCATCAAAATGCATTCATGCACCTTTTTCCTTCATCTTCTTAGGATTTGTCCGCTGTTGCACCACAGTCTATTTGATGACGGATGAAACCGAGAGACGTAGCTGTTAGTGGTTGAGAAGTTACCGGCAGGTTCATCCATCTCGATCTCTAATCGAATGCTGTACGGTCTCGTGTGTCATTCTCTTCCACAGCGTGCTGATTACATATTTTATTCCACAGGTTTGCCCTCTTCGCAATGCATATTTCATTAACGGCAACTTGAAAGTGCCAAACTACATGAAGTTCCATTGAAATTATTTGAGTATCACAAAAGTGAATGACAATCAGCTAACTATATTTACCTATGGTTGAATCACACACACACACATCGCTACTGCTAGCAGCTTTTCGGTTTATTCTTCTTCAAGATTACTACTTGCAATCGGATGATTTCGTCACCTCTCAAGGTGACCCCCTTGGGCCGAATTACAGCTGCTGATACATCTCATCGAAAGTGTGAGACCCGGCAACGTTGCGGCTGGGTTTGATCCGTGATTCAGTTGATGTGTTTTGTTTAAAGAGGACAGTGGATGGAGTGCCCAATTCAAGCATTTGTAGCTGTCGGCGAGATGTACGCCTAGCATAGTGACAACTCAGCAGTTTGTAAACTACCTGGGTTGGGAATATACATTTATGGATTTATTCATGGAGTTTGAAGGCTTCTGATCATTTATCTATCACTGGGAAATCGACGACTATGGACAGAAAACGATATGCACGATTCAATACGTTGGTTACCATTGATCACCCGAAAGGCAGATGGAACTATGTTACAATCGGTCCATCGTAAAACAACTTGGACAGGTCAGCACAAGGTGCACTTTGGAAATTTTGTGCCAATTTGGTCTTGTTCGTACCTTGTTCGATAGAGCCCGTCAAATTTGCACTGACAACACGATATCAAACGAGATCTGTTTTTTGCGTAATACGTCAACGAGAAATGATTATCCCGAGAAGTTTGTTGACAAGTATAGTAGATTGAAGAGTGAAAAGCCCGTTGTCGTGTCAGCGTCTAGATTAGAGATCACGATTTGTCTTCTATTCAAAGGTGATGATATGACTAATCTAATCCATCAACGGTTAAGATCGGTTGTCAGTCGGACTTATTACGCAACCAAACCCAGAGTTGTGCAAAGGACAGGGAGTATACTCGTCCCCCCGTTTAAAGAACACCCACTCCTGTACAACAACTCAAACGTAAAGCACACACCTTCCACGCGATGGGTCCGGAGTTCAAAGCCCGAATGGGTGGACGGTGGATATGCACTACTAATGAACTCCAATAGGAGCGAAACTCGAGTCTAGTGCTTCCGAGTGTATGGTTGAATCGATGAACCGAAGATTGTACGTGAAGGTGAAGTTCGAAGGATAGTCAGCTCAAATCAATTAAAATCAACTATCCCACACCATTACTCACTGGTAATCGTGAGTCAAATTACAAAAGTAGTCTATCAATTCCAATGTAGACGCGGAGACACTTACACGGGCAGAACAGAAAGGCAATTACGTAATCAGGTCTTAGAACACAGTCCGAACTGGGTTCAACGCAAGGTTGCCATGGCAGAGTCCACACAGTCGGTAACTGGCAACGTCTGTGCCTACAAGCCCTCAAGCTCGTCGATTGCCAAACACTTGTTGATAACGCAACAACTCGTGGATCGCAAGAAAGCATTTCGAGTGATTTTTACCGATGACAAACCACCAGAATGCTCAAGATCGCCGAGGGGATTGTAATCAACCGATGGAAACCAATTCTGTGTCAACAAAATGACTTGTTCATCATTTTTGCTTTACCTTGGTGACGCTCCCCCCATTTACAAGTATTCATTTTATAATTCATTCCCGAACCCTATATAAACATTGTATTTGTCTGCAGTAGGCACCATTTGAGATTCAGTGAAATAGTGAAATATTGTTACACTGGCTTCTCTTTTCAAATTTATTACGGGAAAAACTTGTTTCGGTACCAAAGCAATGACGAAGTGGCAAACCATTCACACTGATTACACAGTTGGGATGCGTTGCTATCGGCGAATTTAGCGGTGCGCATTGTTTTCCAGTAGAAGTTCTGATAATTTATTACAACGGGTGGTGACCAATTTAGACCTTAATCTGCTGGTGAACACATATCGTGGAACGATCCAGACAGAATACACTGTGCCCATCACGGGATTCGACTTCTCTCTATCTAAGTTCATTGCCCAAAAAAGGGAGATGATTTCGTTTTCATGTCAGCTGCCGTGTGTGCATCGCGTTTTTCGTGACCGAATACTGTGTCATTTGAAACTTTAGTGCATTTCAGCAATAAAAGACATAGATCTGTTCATTCCACTGTAGTCGGTAAGGTAAAGGCAACCTGTTTTTGGACGTCACCAGTCGAAAAATGACACACAACGGCAACTGGCACCGAATCATTTCATTTAATTCGATTTCTTACTGCTTATTCTTGTGTTATTTTTTGAAACCAGCAAAACTGTGACATTGACACTGACTTTACGTGACACGATCCTGTCAATTTTGATTCTAAATAGAATAATGAGTGGCGGACAAGCTCGTTTTCAGTGATTCGTAGTCTTTCCAAATTCATCACAATAAATATTATGCCGTTTATGTACAAATAAGTACTCAACTCAAATAAGTACTCAAGCTAAACACTTGTTTTGAGAAAGGGAAAATATCCTGATAGGTTATCTGCGACTAATTTCGTCTTCGGACCGGATGTGGAATTCTCAATGGTCACATAACTGTTAGGTTATCCGATCGTTAGGAACACTCGAAATGTGGGGTGTGTGAGAGGTGAGTGGGCCACGGAAGGTTAAACGCCTGCACACAGAGGGGGGTTGTGCAGACGAATTTGTATCGCTTCCGCTATGGCCGGCATATGACATGGAACCCGCGTTGATAGTCGACCACGAACCAGAAACAGATGACGAAATACCTCGGTCACATTCACCGTGTGATTTGTTTCAACTAGGTGTGAAACAACTGCATTAGTGAGTGACTTAATCGTTCCGGTGTTTAGTCATGCGAGGTGGTGTTCATGGATTTGTTTGGACCTTGCGGCTTTTATACGTTGTTCCACATGAACACGTAAATAAGTACTCACAAAATGAGACGGCAGAATCCGGCATTTTGTCCTTTAGTCGTAAACAAAATTGACTGGGACGTGAACAAAACATTGAATTTTGCTTTACACCCCATATTCCGAGTGTTCCCAACGATCGGATGACCTAACAATTGTGTGATCATTGAGAATTCCACATCCGGTCCGAAGACGAAATTAGTCGCAGATAACCTATCAGGATATTTTCCCTTTCCCAAAACAATTGTATGGTTTTTATGATTAAATGGTGATTTATCAATGAACAGCGTATTATTTATTGTGATGCATTTGGCATGACTACGAATCACTGAAAACGAGCTTGTTCGTCACTCTTTGTTTCATTTGCAGTGCTCTCTGTGGGACTGTTTAGACAATTATGATTCTGTTAGCCATTGAGCGACTTTTCAACGATTAGCTTATGTGTCGCGATCAATCTTTTGTTCGTTGTGCTAGTCCATTACTGAAACGTATTTAGGACACTAAAGAGGAGGTTCATCACAGTCATTGCCTCGGTAAATTTGTCGAAAATAACCTCTGGTAATTCGGAAACACTGTCACCGAATTCCCACTTTGAGGTGCTTTCTACTAGGATCAAACACACGCAATCTACCGGGGACTCCAGTTCCTATGGTCTTCAATGGATAGACTGACGAACATGTTACTCGCAAGCGTTCGATAGTTTCTACAAACCATTAGCGAAATTCTTACCATTTGCATACGTGGTCTTGGGAACTGATGAATACCTGAGGATGAACAGATGGCCCAGAATTTTGCCCAGTGCACTCGAGGTCTTGTCAATTATCTCTCAGTAATCAGGGTTTTTCAAGTAGCATGGAGCTGGAGTTCCTTAAGGATGGCCACCAAAGTGGTTAAGGCATTCAATTTCTGTTCATACGCCGAGAGAAAGGAGTCGTTAGGGTTGTTTGCCAATCACTACCGGCGCACCAGATGAGACATGATTGTGGTATACAAAATAGTGCAGAACACAAGCTATCCTAGTTGCCCGCTGCTGAAATTATCACCCAAAGTTCATCCCAGAGGACATCCGTTCAAACTAGTAGTCTCAAAATATCGATTGGAATACCGGCGTCAGTCATTCGCAGTCAGAGTGTGTTCGATCTGGAACTATCTCCCACCCCACGTCGTCTGTGTGGACCAAGCAATGAATCTTTCAAACGGAGAATCCATGAAACATTAGCACGTCTTACATTCCAACATAAGTGAAGCTGCGTGCAACAGTGGAAGAATCATATATCATGTGACATTATTAAACAAGGAATTGTATATATCATTGTCGTTTAACCACAATACGAACCAATGGGACGAGAAAAGCATGAGCTTGTAAGTTATTCCCATGATAAAACTTAGAAAATAGAACTTTGGATTCCTGTTTTGTTTTCAATCATTGATTAGCGACCAGAATGACATAAGTTTCCTTGTTTGGCAGACATTTTGAGGATAGGTATCAACCAGAGGGTAAATATATAGTCAATGACTAAAAGGATAGGGCAGATCGATATAGTAGTATATTGTGCCGCCAAAAAGCTTCTGATGGAATAGCCGCACTTTGTTGGTCCTCTTCTGTTCGCCAAAGACAACTGGACAATATAGATCGCGATACTCATCCGTTTTAGCCTCGGCAGCTTTCTCTGTCCCATGGAACTGAATCCAGGACAACATGAGGTAAGGTTAGCGGTAGTGATATCAGTTAGATGGGTAAAATTGTATCTTGTCACATTCAGGGCATCCAGTTGCAATGACAAGGTCGACTATCTCTCTCTCGCACACACACACACACACACACACACACACAAAACCTCCTATATACTCATAGGCATGCAGACATCGGTATAAGTGGGTATACCGGTACGATGACATAGGCATTCAAGGCATTATCGCGCCAGATAAACACGCACGCACGCACACAGAGAAGAGGTTTCTCAGCCGCTATTAACGCGAACCAACAGACACACAGACACGGATAGTCACGCGCACTGGAAGGCAGGGTACTTTCTGCGTTTCATAACACAGAGGTAACTTGTGATTCTCGGCGGAAGTGAAAAAATGTATCTGTCATGCACCAAATGTAACACTTCCACGGTCAAGATGATAATGAATGCGAGATGGGGGTACCACGGACGGGGGGGGGGGGGNTGTAATCAACTGGTAGAGGTAAAGAGCAAAATAAAAGCAGGCATTTATTGATTTGGTTGAAAGAAATGGCAAGGACCTATTGTTCACGTACCGCATTTGACGAGTCGTTCCATAAAATACTCAAGGTCATTTGATTATGTGAGGAATAATTGTGCTGCGGCTATTTGACCATTCAATCTGGCAATTTTATTACCCGGTAAAAAGCAAGGCAGACGACTTTCAATTTGAAACAAATTGCGACGTGGATACATAGGCTGCTTACTTTAAACGTTTGTTAGTGAGACAGATCCGGACTACTTCTCGGCCCTGCACTTGTGGACGTTTATAGTAAATAATTTGCTGATCAGTTCGTTAAAGTGGAGAGAGCGAGAGAGAGTTGAAGATATTCATCTATTTTTTTTATAGAATAAATAGTAATTCTGTAGATTCAACATGAACAACATTACCTAAGGCTACCTAAGACACCGGAGCTCCTCTATGCTCTGTTTTAAACCTTGACAGACATTCCCGTAGTTTGGCGACCGGAAGCTACAGAATGAACATAATTGTCCTTTGATCTGCTTCTGTGGTGGTAACAAGGGTAGACACCATTGAACGAGTTGAAGCCTGTTCAGTGTCACAGGTGATGG